TTTTTTAAACTTTACATGAATATATTGTCTTATATTATAGAATTAGAATTTATACTCCCTATTCCATGATGATATCTTTGAGCTATAATAGTTTTAATTAAGAACATCTTTAGATAGGTGTTTCCCTCAAAAATTTTATCAAAAAAATCCAACTTAAATAAATCAGATTTTTTTTTTAAATCATTGATTTTTATCCGCCCTGAAGCTAAAGGTGAGGTCATACAAGCTAAAGGTGAGGTCATACACAGAGGAGCAAAGAATGTAGGTCACACTTATAGGATCAGGGGACTATGTATTTGAAAGTAGTGACTCTGAAAGAAATTTTATGGGTCATGGTGGATAATCAACTGAACATGAGCTCCCTGTGTGGTGGGTGGCGAAGAAAGCAAATGTGATCCTTGGATTTATAAGTGAGGGGAGTATCACAGAAGTAGGGAGATGCTCTTACCACTAAATATGGCATTGGTGAGACCACTGCTGCCGTAGTGTGCACATTTCTGGTATTGACACTTTAAAAATGATGTTGACAATTGGAAAGAGTTCAGAAAAGACCTACAAGAACAATTTGAGTTCTGGAAAACCTGTGCTGCAGTAATAGACTAAAGAATGTCAGTCTGTTCAGTTGAACCAAGAGAAAGGGGACTTGATCATAGTCTAAGTACATGGAGGGAAGATTTCTGATGATAGAGGACTCTTCAGTTTAGTAGACAAAGGCATAACAAGATTCTGTGGCAGGAAGATGAAGCTAGATAAATTCAGATGAGGAATAAGGCCTACATTTCTAATAGTGAGGGTAATTAACTATTGAAACCACTTAGGGATGTGGTGGGTTCTCTTTGGAGTTTTTAAATCAAGACTGAATGTCAAAAAGGCATGCTTTAGTGCAGCCAAAAGTTATAGGCCTAAAGCAGGAATAACCTGGTGAAATTCTGTCATTGCTGTTATAAAGGAGATGTTCATAGTGGTTCCCTCTGGTCCTAAAATGTATGAATCTATGTATATAATTTTATTTCTTGTTTATCCACAGAGGTGCTTGGTTATACAGACTCTCTCTCAATACATTTAAAACTAACATGTCAATGTAGGTTACATATGAACATGTCTTTCTCAAAAAAAAAATAAAATAAAATCAATACCACAGCCAAACGTAGATAGGTGAAAGCATCAGCAGGCTGTACAGATCATGCACACCCTGTGGTTCAAATGTTCTGCTTGCTGTTGTGTGGAGAGGTTAGCAGTTCAAACACTTCAACTGCAAGGTGTGTGCTGGAAGCCTCGTACCATAGCACAGCTCTGCTCTCCAAGAATGAATAGATGGACTTCAAGATACAAATTACTTTTTAGTATCTGCTGCTTGGGACTTGAGTTCCATATTGTTAGTGGTTGTTGTTATCCCAAAGCAAAAGCTGTACTCATGGCAGGGGTGGGAAAACTGCGGCCTGCGGGCTGCATCTGGCCCATTGGATCTTTTAATCTGGCCCTCAAGCTCCAGCTGGGGAGCAGGAGCGGGGTCTTGCCTTGCTCCACTCCATGTGTGCAGCAGCTCTGCTTGGCTCCCGGAAGCTGGTGCAGCCGGGGGCTCTGCATGCTGTCCCCACCCCAGGCATCGGCTCTGTAGCTCCCATTGGCTGGGAACCATGGCCAATGGGAGCTGTGGGGGCGCTGCCTGCAGATGGAGCAGTGCGCAGAGCAGCGTGGCCCCACCTTCATGTGGGAGCCGGAGGAGGGATGGGCCACTGTTTCCAGGAGCCACTTCAGGTAAGTGCCACCTGGATCTTGCACCCCTGAGCCCTCTCTGCATCCCAATCCCCTGCCCCAGCCCTGATCGCCCTCCAAACCCTTTGATGCTAGCCCGGAGCACCCTCCTGCACCGCAAACCCTCATCCCCAGCCCCACCCCACAGTCTGCACCCCCAGCTGGAGCCTCATCCCCGTGCGCCCCAATCCTCCTCCCAGCCCCACCCCACAGTCTGCACTCCCAGCCGGAGCCCTCATCCCCACCACCACCCTCCGTGTGCCCCAATCCCCTGCCACAGCCGGCCCTCCATCCTGAGATGTGGCCCTCGGACCAAAAAGTTTGCCCACTCATGTCATATGGTATCTTGACAATCCAGTGCTATATAGTGGGTTTTCTGTTGATCTTTTAGCACTCACATTTGGATGAGACATTAAATAAAAATCACTCTGTTCAGATGGCATTTAAAGACCCCGTGACACTCTTTGAAAAGAGGTAAGGCAAGTGATGGTTTGTCTGTTTATAGAATGCTCTTACTGTCTAAATGCTTTGCATGTATGGGGTACCAACTCTGTAGGCATAGATCCAGGCATCAGAACGGGTGGCACCATGGGAGGTGATTGGTTGTATGGCCTAAAATATAATGTTTGTAACCTGAGGGAACACTATGAAGAGAACTTTTGCAGTATAGTCTTGAATCTGAAGATCATAGTATGTGGGACTGAGAGTAAGTTTCTTTCCCAGGGAAGTGGGGGGAAAGGTGTTTTTAGGTTGTGTATACATGTAGATGTATCAGGAGAGAATGTAAAGGAATAGAAAAAGAAATGAACAAAGTGATAACCTGAATTAGTTGTGGGGCAAAGTTGATATTTGTGTTCCCCTTTTACATGCCAAGCTAGTTATCTTTGAGGGGGCACTTGATGATAGACTTTCTGTTGTTGGAATAGGAAAATGCCACGGTGTCTTGGCAAACTCTCTTAGTAAATTATGTTCTAATGTTAAAGGCTTTGTGTGTTAGTTATTGAATGGTGCTACCGCCTCTATCTGTATAATCACTGTGCTACTAGTATCTATTTTGTAGGGCTGTTTTGAGAAACCTTGAGTGTGAATGTTGCTATTGTAGCACCAAAAGTTCTGTTGTTGTGCTACGCCCCGCAAGGTTTTATGAAAGCATTGCAGAATTAAAATGTCTGTATGGGAGAGTATTAACATTTAATAGATAGAGATTTTTCTTTCTGTTTTTGTTAAAACTGCAGAAGCATTTCAGGGCACGGAATAAATGAGGCAGAAAAGTAAAGCATGTTAGGCCATTACAGATAAGGGTTCTGTTGGTTGAGAGGAGCAGCTTGCTGTATTTGCTTTTCTGGCACTTTCAATCTTTATTTTGACAGATTGACCCCTCCCAGGTCACCCTATTTAAAACCTGAATATATGAGGTTTGAAGGTGGAATGCAGCTTTGCCAGTCTGCATAATAATGCTTATAATAAATGCTGTATATATAAAATAGACATTCAGGTGTTCTGAATTCTAAATGCTAAAGGGAAACTTCATTACATCTTTAATATAATTTCAGTAAATCTGAATAACAGGAATTGTTTTAAAACAAGATTAATATTCTGTGCCAAGTTCTATAGTGGGTCACTTTCAGAAGTGGTGTGCCGAGTCTTCATTTATTCACTCTAATTTAAGATTTTTGCATGCCAGTAATACATTTTAATAGTTTTAGAAGGTCTCTTTCTGTAAGTCTTTAATATATAACTAAACTATTGTATGTAAAGTAAATAAGGTTTTTAAAATGTTTAAGAAGCTTCATTTAAAATTAAATTAAAATGCAAAGCCCCCTGACCGGTGGCCAGGACCCGGGCAGTGAGTGCCACTGAAAATCAGCTCGCATGCCGCCTTTGGCACATGTGCCGTAGGTTGCCTACCCCGGTGTATACTATAGGATACTATTTATGCTGTGTACAGTACCATACAATAAAAAGTAAGTTCCTTATCTAATCCTGCAACTCACAGAAGAAAAGGAGCTAAGAAATGTAATGCTCCACCCTCTTGAACAAAGTTCATGTTGTGTTATATTTCCCTATTACAATGATTTTATGATAGCTTTAACATTTAACTTAAGGTCATCTTAGCAGTTCCAATAAGAACCATTTACTAAAGGGAACTTACAGTTAAACATTTTGTGAGCCGTTACTTGGCATATACAATTTTATCCTGCTCCAGAGCAAACTTTTTGACCAAAAAATCTTAAGTTTAAGTATATCATAAGTAGTAGGTCTCTGAGCTTTCCTCCCTTTAATCCCCCCCCCAACCCCGTCCCTCTGGCTGCTTGAAACAAAGCAGTGTTCTCTTTCTCTTAGACATCATGGCTACTGTGATGATGTATTTTCTCATCTGGCCTTCTGGCTGCAAGGGTATATGTATGTCTACTAGCCTACTTCTAGCCTGTTGTGAAGGGGGCAGTTTTTTCTACTTTAGCCCCTAACCCTTTTTCACCTCCATTTTAGGAGGAGTCGCACCTCAGCGAATAGCTTCAGAATTTGGATCTACTGTTGCTTGTGACTCTTACTAGCAGCAGTAGAATGAAATGAATGTTTGTGAGAGCTTAAATACTGCCTATGGGGTTCTGAATAGTAGTAGTGAAAAGTGACAAGATACTGACAATGACAAGTTGCTGCTTGGCAAAACTCTGTGCATCAGCAAAGGTATTGGAGCTTCCTGCAGACTTAAGAATTCTATTGAATGCAAATAGAATGTAGTGTCTATGGCAGGGGTCGGCAGCCTTTCAGAAGTGGTGTGCTGAGTCTTCATTTATTCACTCTAATTTAAGGTTTCGCGTGCCAGTAATACACAAACATTTTTAGAAGGTCTCTTTCTATAAGTCTTTACATACAACAATAGTTTAGTTATATATTAAAGTAAATAAGGTTTTTAAAATGTTTAAGAAGCTTCATTTAAAATTAAATTAAAATGCAGAGCCCCCTGGACTGGTGGCCAGGACCCAGGCAGCGTGAGTGCCACTGAAAATCAGCTCGCGTACCACCTTTGGCACAAGTGCTATAGGTTGCCTACCCCTGGTCTATGGCCGTAAGGGCAAGACATTTTTCTAAAATGAAAGCTGAGATTCTGAAATTCCCCTGTTTCTCTCCTCCCTCAGAAAAAATGCCAGAGAAATCTTACTATGTAAGTAGGCTTCTTAAGTGCTTAGTGTGTTACATATAAAGACAAAAAAACCTGATTATATTTATGCATTTTATTTCAGATCTGAAAGTTGAGTTTTGACCAGTTCATTCTTGCAAAAGAAATCCAGAAACTAGAGAATAAAAATGGGGACTCCTGGATCGGGGAGGAAAAGAACTCCAGTAAAAGATAGATTCTCTGCAGAAGATGAAGCCTTGAGTCACATTGCCAGAGAGGTCTGTAAATATTAAATTATCTAACATATAAAGAACAAATGAAAAACCCAGAATGCAGCCATAAAAATTAAAACTGTTTCATGCATAGTTCTTAAGGTGGCAACAATGACTAGTTGCCGTATTTAACAATTGTTATAAAAATTGAAGTATTTAAATACGTAGTAGCTTAAATCAAACTAAGCTAAAATATATTATTGTAACATTTTAAAGTGTATTGTTGCTGTTACTCATTTATTCTAAAGTAATTGATTACTTGTTTTCTAAAGAAATGGCTTAGTCCAAATTGTTTTTGAAAATCTATATTTATCTCTGCTGTGATTTATACCATGCTTTGGGTTGTTTATGTTGAATTCTAGTGGATATTACACATGAAATTCTGTGTTATAACTTTCAGGGGAAGTTCATAATTTTCAAAAAATTATTCAGGAATATAGGTTGGGTTTAAAATTTTCTGGAGCACAATTGTTAGCTCACCTTAATTTGTAGGTGACTGGCAGGTGAATATTCGCCAGAGGCGAGCAACTGGAAGTTGGTAGGAGTCTTAAGAAGAAGTTGATGCAGGGAGAAAATTGGTCCTACTAAGCGTCAGGTATTGGAGATATATAAACAGGAGATGAGGATTTACTTACTGGGAATGGTTCTAGTATGAAAAGAACTGGGATTTACTGGAAGGCAAGGACCCATAGTACAGAAGGGAATAGAGAAAGATTGAGCCAAGTTCTGCACTTAGTTGCACCCATGCAAACCTGTTGACTTCAGTGGGTTTGCAGAGGCAATCTGAGGGCAGAATTTGATCATCTTTATACTGTGAAACCATAGTAAACAGAGAACATCTATATTTAATCACATTTCATAAGATAAAATAGTTACATAATCACATCTTTGGCAATATAGCAGCAGTTCCTCACTATCAAATATTGAGCCATTAAAGAGCTGAAGTAAAATAATGCTCCTAGACTTGTAGGGTAGTGAATGAGCATAATAGGGGGAGCTCACAGTGATCCCTATATTTAGGTTTTCCAACACTTTCCACTACAAAAGTTTCTGGGGACCTTGTTAAGAAAAGTTGTGATGCCTTCATTGTTTACAGCAGGCCTTTGAAATTTGGCAGAGATGAAGCTTTGGGATCAGAAAAATGCCTTTTCTTGGCCTCATGAAATGCCACTCAGGTTTGAGAGAGACTTTTTAAAATTGCCGTTTCCCCTTTGTCACTTGTTGTCAGCAAAATGTTGTCATCATGTTAAAATAACTGAACATGAGCATTCATCAAAGCAGCAGCAAGAAACTGACTAGGAATACCAGGAGAAGGCAACCTTTCTGGGAGGAGAGGTAAAAAAAGCTGAGCCTGGCTGGCTCCTTGAACCTAGTGCAGAGCCCTGGCTAGCCGTTACCCCTTCTGTGGGGGCATCATGTCGGGAAGGATTCCACACACACACGCACCCCCAAACACATCTTTGAGATCAGGGGCTTCTCTTTTGAATGATTGTTCATATAAACATTCCACTAATGGTGTGCAAGTGCTTGAGTTTGCAGTCTTTTAGCCAACAGTTTCCATGTGGTGCGTGTGCTACCTGAGATTCATAGTCATAGAAATGAAGGACTTGAAAGGATTACGTCCAGTTCCCTTTGCTGAAACAGGACCAGGTAAACCTGGACCATGGTTGACAGGTGTTTGTCCAACCCGTTCTTAAAAACGTCCAACGATGTGGACTCTGCCAACTCTCTTGGAAGCCTGTTCCAGAGCTCAACTACCCTTAAGAAGCTTTTCCTAATATATAACCTAAATATCCCATGCTGCAGATTAAGCTCATTACTTCTTATTCTACCTTCAGTGGATATGAGGAGCAAGGGATTCCCATCCTCTTTATAACAGCCCTTAACATGTTTAAAGACTGTTGTCAGGTCCCCCCTCAGTCGTCTTTTCTCAAGACTAAATGTGTCCAGGTTTTGTTTTTTGTTCTTTTGCAACTCCTCCCAGCTTGGTGTCCTCTGCAGATATTATAAGCACACACTCCACTGCATTGTCCAAGTCATTTATGAAAATATTGACTAGTACCAAACCCAAAACTAACCCGGGTGGGACCCCATTGCTTACACCTTCCCAGTTTGACAGTATATCATTGATAATTACTGTTTTGAGTATGGTCTTTCATCCAGCTGAGCACTCGCCATATGAATTTTATCTAGATTGCATTTCCCTAGTTTGCTTAGGAGAATGTCATGTGGAACTGCACTAAAATCAAGATATACTTAATCTTCTTTAGGTGCTTAAATAAGAGCTGACTTCTTTTAGAGATCTGGCCCCAAATGTGAAAAACTGGTTCCACTTTGGAAACAACTAAAGAAGATCTTCCTTTCTCTTAAGCTGTTCTGTTTTGGAGATGAGGTTCTGCACTCTCTCCCCACTGTTAACTTGAAGTTGTGAGCATGCTTGGTGTATGGCAGATTAACTGCCAAGTTCTATGGGGCCCTGAATTTGACAGAATATTAATTCAGATATTTTGGATTGTTCTGGTGCTTCCACTCTTACAGTCCAATTTTTGTCTTGTGGATGCTGTACTGAAGACATCATTCTGTTTTTGTGACATTACAGTCTGTGGTCATGAAAATGGTTTACATGTACCTGCCAATATCAGTGTCTATAAGCAGGGGCATTTAGAAAGAAGACTAAGTGCACACCTTTTCAATTCAGTTGAAAAACGTTAGGCTTGCAGGGATATAAGTCGACTGCTTCCCCTATTCACTCGGCAAGTAACAGTCAAAGAAAGAAATTAGGTTGATTTGGCATGATATGTTTTTGACAAATCCACGCTGAATGTTCCCTATAACTCTGTATTTGTTTACAAGATGTTTAATAATTTATGCCAACATCTTTCCAAGTATCAAAGTTAGGTGGACTGGTCTGTAATTCCTTGGGTCCTTCTTTGTTCCTCTTTTTAAAGATATGTTTGCCCTTCTCCAGTCCTCTGTGACCTCACCTGTCCTCTATGCTTTCTCAAAAATAGTTGCTGACAATTGAGATTGCTTCAGCTAATCCCTTAAGTGTCCTAGCATGCATTTCATCAAGCCCTGTTGTCTTGAATATGTCCAAATAATCTAAATATTCTTTAACATATTTTTCCTCTTTTGGCTTGTGTTCCTTCCCTCTTGTTAATATTAATTGAGTATCTGGTCACTATTAAGCTTTTGATTGAAAACTGAAGCAAAATAGGCATTAAACACCTCAACCTTCTTGATGTCATCAGTAAGGCTAAGATTTTATCACAGATTTTTTTTTTTTAGTAAAAGTCACGGACAGGTCATGGGCAATAAAGAAAATTCACGGAAGCCCATGCCTGTCCCTGACTATTACTAAAAGTATCCATGACAAAATGAGGAGCTTCAGGGTCTCCACACAGCCCTGGCAGCTACAGGGGCCCCAGCTCAGAGCTCCTGGGGGCTCAGAGCTCCAGGGTCCCACACCACCAGCAGCTCGGAGCTGTGGGGTCCCCCTGTGGCTCGCAGCTCCAGGGGCTCCCGTTGCTCAGAGCAGCTGGGAGATCTGGGGGCGGGGATCCCCCCCCGGGTGGATTCCATTACTTGAGTGATCTCCATGACAAAATCGTAGCCTTAGTCATCAGTTGTTATAAGTAGGGCTGTCAATCACAGTTAACGCCGGTTGGGGTGAAGGGGGGTGCAGGCTCTGGGGTGGAGCCAGGGAAGAGGAGTTTGGGGTGCAGGAGGAGGCTTCGGGTTGGGGAGAGCTCAGCGTTTGGGTGCGGGGAGGGAGGCATCAGTGGTGGGGAGACTAGCTCCATTGAAAGGGGTGGGGGTACACGAAGCCCCAGCAGGCAGCAGAGGGAAGAGGCGCGAAGCCCCAGCTAGCAGCTCAGCTGGAGAGAAGCCCCAGCCTATATTTTAAAATATAGAAAACATCCTAAATATTTAAATAAATGGTATTTTATTATTGTTTAACACTGTGATTTAAAACTTTAATCAGGATTAATTTTTTTTAATCGCTTGACTGCCCACATTATTAACTCTTTCCCTGCTAAGTAGAGGGCCTATGCTTTCCTTTGTCTTTTTCTTGCTCCTAATGTATTTAAAAAACCTCCTCTTATTGCCTTTTCTTTCTCTGGCTAAGGGTAACACATTTCGTTCCTTAGCCTTTCTGATTTTGTCTATACATTCTTCTGCTATTCTTTTATACTCTTCGTTAGCATTTTGTTCGTGTTTATACATTTTTAGAATTCCTTTTGATTTTCAGGTCATTAAGAGCTCCTGTTGGAGCCATATTAACCTCTTTCTAGTCTTCCTGTCTTTCCTTTGCATCGGAATAGTTTGCAGTTGTGTCTTCAATATTCTTGCCATGAGAAACTGCCAGCTCACCTGAACGCTTTTTTTCCTTAGATTTTTCTTTCCATGGGACCCTATCTAGCAGTTCTTTGTGTCTGTCAGTCTGCCTGTTTGAAGTCCATTATCCTCATTCTGCTGCTCTTACTCCTTCCTTTTCTTAGAATCATGGACATCTATCATTTCATGGTCACTTTCACGCAAATTGCCTTCTACCTTCAGATTTGCTACCAATTCCTCCTTGTTGGTCACAATTGAGTCTGACATGGCAGTCCCCTTGGTTACTTCCTCCACTTTCTGAAACAAAAAAGTTGTCCCCAATACAGTCCAAGAACTTTTTGGAAAATTTGTGTTTTGTTGTTGTTACCAGGTGTTGTGTTTTGAATATTTCTGTTTGTCTTTGAAATGCTGCCGCCTCCTCCACCTTCCTTGTTCTGTGCTCTGGAGTAGATCCCAACCATGCCATTATTTATATATATATAATATAATATTTTTACCCCTTTTATTTTTACCCAGAGACTTTCAACTGGTCTGTCTCTCACTTCCTTCTGGACCTCCGAACAAGTGTATATATTCTTGATCTAAAATGCAACACCACATCACTTTTTATCTGCCTGTCCTTCCTGAACAAGCCATACCCTTCTATGCCAGTATTCGAGTCATAGAAC